CATATAAACATTGTAAACATCCACAAACATGTAAACAACAACATATAAATATTGTAAATATCCACAAACATGTAAACAACAACATATAAACATTGTAAACATCAACAAACATGTAAACAACAACATATAAACATTGTAAACATCCACAAACATGTAAACAACACATATAAACATTGTAAACATCAACAAACATGTAAACAACAACAAATAAAGAACCATTCTGACTGAGTTCTGTCACAAACCGGTTCTCACCTGCCCATCTTTCACCTCCCTGAAACAGTATTTGAAGCCTGACTGTTGGCTGTGGGTCCCAGCACCCTTCAAGATCTGGGTCTGGACTTCACGGCCCAGAATCGGAGACGGTGCCGGAGCACCTGCTGAACCTGAAGAGGAGAGCATCTGCAGGGCAGGAGCAGAACCCGACACCTGGACCAACATGGATACAGAGACGAAGATGAACCAACAGTGTCGTCCAATCAGAGAAGAGCCTCAGGTTCTCACCTTCAGCACCTGGTGGACCTTCACGCTGGCTTCAGGGGGGTGCTGGACTCTGACCTTCACCATGGGGGAACCAGATTCTGGACCAGAAAACAAAACATCAAACTGGACAGTTTCTTTGGCAGAACATAGTTACAGCTAATAATGATAATTAATAAGAAGATGAAGAAAAAATTAAAAATAAAACCATTTTTGACAGAATAAATAAAATAAATTAAATTTATTAATTGATATAACATTAATATTTTTACCTGGATTACTGAGATGCAACAGGACATAATATATTATTTATAACTGATCTATTTCATATTTTACAGCTAAAACTTCAGAAAACAAAGTTCAAATAAAAATTACAACTTCAAAGTCAAAACTATAAATACATTTTTAAAGAAATTTAAACAATTGTCAAAAATAAATATGATATAATGATTATATGGATAATAATGATATAATAAATAATATATTTAATTATTAATACTATATATTGAAACCAAACATTTGCTTTAAACTAAATAAAAAAACATTTAAAAACAGAAATAAGAAATATTTCTACAAAAGAAAAATGTGATTTTTTTTTACATTTAACATCTGATGAAACTAAAATAAAACATTTAGATCAAAACTGAAATTAAAGATTTATAAATATTTTACATCAAATGATTCAGACTCTGTTTTTTTAAATCACCTTCAGGGTCTGATGTGTTCCGGTTCGGACTCTGCGGGGCCTCCTGGTTCTGACCCAGTGGAAGCAGGAACTCTGACCTCATCAGTTCCTGATTGGCTGCTGAGTTGGAGAGGAGAGCGGGTCGGCTCATCTGATTGGACGAGGAAACAGGAAGTTGGCAGAACTTCCCGGTAAAGTTGGCAGGACAGAAGCAGCGATCTTTCTGCAGACAGACGCCTCCGTTCTTACAGAGCAGCGGACAGACAACTGAAACACACAAACAGACACACAAACAAACAAACAAACAGACACACAAACAAACAAACAGACACACAAACAAACAAACAGACACACAAACAAACAAACAGCAGGTTAGGGTTCTGAATACACCAGAACTAAAGTTAAAAACATTTCTTGATTTAGATAAACTGAGTTCATCTGTTAAATCTGACCAGTGGGTGAAGAAATATTTTACTAACAGAGAAACATCACCAGCCCTCCTGGAAACACTTCAGACCTGCAGACCCCAGACCTTCAGACCTTCAGACCCCAGACCTTCAGACCCCAGACCTTCATTACCCAGACCTGCAGACCTCAGACCCCTGACCTTCAGACATTCAGACCTTTAGACCTTCAGACCCCAGACCTTCAGACCCCAGACCTTCATTACCCAGACCTGCAGACCTCAGACCCCTGACCTTCAGACATTCAGACCTTTAGACCTTCAGACCCCAGACCTTCAGACCCCAGACCCCAGACCTTCAGACCTTCAAACCCCAGACCTTCATTACCCAGACCTGCAGACCCCTGACCTTCAGACCCCAGACCTTCAGACCTTCAGACCCCAGACCTTCATTACCCAGACCTGCAGACCCCTGACCTTCAGACGTTCAGACCTTTAGACCTGCAGATCCCAGACCTCCGGCCCACATGTCTCTGATCCGTTGTGTGGTTCAGACTCAGAGTGGTGTTTGGGGGGTGGACCAGCTGCAGCTCAGACAGGAACCACCTTCATCACCTGGAGGTGTCAGAGCTCCACCTGCTGGTCAGCAGAGGTGCTGCACCCTGAGCAGAACCTGGTCTCAGACTTGTTGTGAGCAGGATCTTCATCAGGAAGAGTGAAACTTACAGACTCTGAAGCCCGGTCCATGAGCGCTGTCTCTCCTTCCTCCTCCTGCTCCTCCTCCTGCTCCTCCTCCTCCTTCAGTGCTGCTGTACAGCGTGGTCAGGTTGCCTCTCTCACAGTGGTTGACACATCGGTCCTGGCTGCAGAGCACCTTACAGATGGTTGGTGTGAACGTCACCTGGAACCTCTCCACTCCTCCTCCTCCTCCTCCTCCTGTCTGTCCATTAGCTGTCAGAGGTGAGGTGATGAAGATGAAGAGGAGCAGCTGCAGCATGGTGAGAGTTTCACTGCAGCAGATCTGGGTCTGACTCCACCCGGACTGCCCCCCGCTCTGCTTTCCTTACTCTGTGGGCTGAAAACAGAGGAGGAGGAGGAGGAAGAAGGCTCCGTCCCCTCCTCCTCCTCCTCCTCCTCCTCCTCGGTCAGTTTTCTCTGAACTTCGAGCGAGGCAGAAGATAATTGGAAGCAGCGAGCAGATCTGGGCTCAGGTCCAAACTAAATGTTTAGCAGGGATCAGGTCCATCATGGATCCAACGCAGAGCGGGCCAGAACTCCCCTCCTCTTCCTCACTCCTGAGGCCCTGGACCTCTGCTCAGGGTTTCGTAACGAGCTGCAGAACATTACAGGACACGGTGGTGATGCAACCCTGGTTTTGGGTTTCAGGGGGTCGGAACCAGCAGATGTCCTGATGTGGCTGCAGCCTGCAGAGTGAGAGGAAACAGACTCCTACAGAACCCGTTAAACTGGACCTGCTGGTTCCTGGTACCAGGGTCTGGATCTGTCTTCATGGTCTTCAGATTCACACCATATTTAAAGTAAGCATGTTCCTGAGGTTATTTATCTGGTGCACAGAGAGAKCTGTCAGAACCTGGTTCTGGGTTGGTTCTGGTGATCCATGACTTTAACGTGGTCTTCCATCAGAGCAGACCAGTCTGAGGTCCCCCAGCAGCTGAACAATAACAGGAAGTGTTTATGGTCTGAGCTGTGTGACTGCATTAACACTCAGCTTATCAGAGGTACYCAGTCAGAACCGGGCCGGCCCGAGGATGGAAAACATTCCAGCAGAATCTGAGCCGTTTATCTGAGCAGCAACACTTTTCTGGTTTTTGTGCAACACAATGACCTGTGTGCTAACATAGAGTTGACAAGGCTAACAAGCTAACGGGCTGCTTTAAATCAAGCTCAGACATGAGATCAACTTATTATTATTAACCTTTCTTTAAGCAGCCAAGGCCCGCTCACATCAGAACTCTGTGGGCCTGAAGGCAACCAGTGTACATGTTTATGTTCTGTGGGGAACACTGGAGAACCCYGAGAAAACCCACACAAGCACGAGGAGAACATGAAGCTCCACACAGAGAGACCCCAGGTCCAAACCAGGGATGGATGTGAGGCGTCGGTGCTGACCAAAGAACTTATGTCAAATCAATTTGTTTCAAATGACTTCAACTATTAAATGAAAGCCTAACTAGCCAAGGAACACGTGACTTAGTTAACTCTAGTCCTAACCACAGGTGACTTAGTTAACTCTAGTCCTAACCACAGGTGACTTAGTTAACTCTAGTCCTAACCACATGTGACTTAGTTAACTCTAGTCCTAACCACAGGTGACTTAGTTAACTCTAGTCCTAACTACATGTGACTTAGTTAACTCTAGTCCTAACTACATGTGACTTAGTTAACTCTAGTCCTAACTACACCAGGACTTAGTTAACTCTAGTCCTAACTACACGTGACTTAGTTAACTCTAGTCCTAACTACACGTGACTTAGTTAACTCTAGTCCTAACTACACATGACTTAGTTAACTCTAGTCCTAACTACACGTGACTTAGTTAACTCTAGTCCTAACTACACCAGGACTTAGTTAACCAGGACTTAGTTAACTCTAGTCCTAACTACATGTGACTTAGTTAACTCTAGTCCTAACTACACCAGGACTTAGTTAACTCTAGTCCTAACTACACGTTACTTAGTTAACTCTAGTCCTAACTACACCAGGACTTAGTTAACTCTAGTCCTAACTACACCAGGACTTAGTTAACTCTAGTCCTAACTACACCAGGACTTAGTTAACTCTAGTCCTAACTACACCAGGACTTAGTTAACTCTAGTCCTAACTA